AAAGGTCAATGTCACCGCTCGAGCAGTCTCGACTTGAAAGTGAGACAGAACAACCTCAAAACATTCTCACCTTAAGGGCTCAACTTTTGAGTAATTGGACACATTTTTTGGAGCAGACTGCGGACAAACTGCTCGAGCGACAAAACCTGCGCTCGAGTGAAGAATACCAACTCCCAGAATCTCTATACCCCCATGCAAATGATCGTTCAAGCGAAGAACACCTACTCCTAGAACTTTAGACTGCAAAATGAGATATTGAAAGGTCAATGTCACCGCTCGAGCAGTCTCGACTTGAAAGTGAGACAGAACAACCTCAAAACATTCTCACCTTCTCGATTTCACTCCAACTCCTAAAAGTACAAGATGACATCTCAGAACACACGAAAATATACATTCAAGAATAATCACAAGGAAAAATAGATAACAACACAAGACTCAAAAGGAGATCGAAATTACAGACTAATATACTCAATTTGCTTTAAAAGGACTCGGGGCACCATAGTCTACATCAATTATTCAAATTATTCAATGTATAAAACTCATCGAGTTAATTACTGCAAAAAATTACGCTGATCGGATATTAATAGCCACTTGATCAGATTACATTTGTGTCAACAGTAAATATGATTTTAAAAACAAATTGTTAACACAAATGTGATATAATCAAGTTCTTATTAATATATAGTCAACTCGATTTTTTGCAAGAATGAAAAACTTGACGAATCTTACACATTGAATGGTTTAAATCAAACCAGGGCATTTGGCTTGGTGGTTGTGTAACACCCTTTGTAATGTGAGGTCTTGGGTTCAACTCCTATGGATAGGAGTTTGATACCCTTTGTGGTGGTGGTGGTTTATTTCTTCCCTATTATGGGGTTGTGGTGATGGTTTATCTGCTTGTGCTTGTGCTTGGGCTTGGGCTTGGGCTTAGTGGACTTGTTATATTGGTTATGTTAGGTATTGTTGACTTTCTAGTTGTTGTAAGTTAGTAGTCAATTTGATGATATAAATATTCCTCATACTCGTAATTACTCTTCTATCAATTGATAAAAAATAAAAAATAAAAAGAACAGTTCAAATCCTCGATGTGGATTCCAACACCCTTAAGTAGAAAAAAACTAACTTCAGAGGAGTCTCTCCTTAGTATATACTCCTAGGGGAATTTAAAAAAAACTAACTTCAGAGGAGTCTCTCCTTAGTATATACTCCTAGGGGAATTTACAAACCCACATCCATTAAAATTTTTAAAAATGTTATACAGAGGTAAAAGTAGTTTATGAAATTTATATATTTATTTTGATAGAATTATTTAAAATTAAAACGTTATATTAACTTTCTAACAAATATCCAAAAAAAATATAAAGATGTAAAAATATAAGTGCATGCATGAGATGGTTTCTCCTTGAATGCAAGGGAAGTCAGGATAATATATATATATATATATATGAGCTTAATTTTATGCTTTTACATGTGAGAGTTGAAGTCATTGAAAACTTCTTATCAGATATCCTTATTTCCTGTCCTATTGGTCTTAGGAACTCCTTTGGTATATATTTCCCCTGTTATATATATAAATTTATTATATTTTATATAATTTTTATAACAAATGTTATATAATCTTTTGATAGAGTTACGATCATTTATAATTTAAAAGTAAATTTTATCTATTTTTGTGATAATATTAATCAATAAATTATTTTTAAATTACAAATTATCATAATTCTATTGAAAAATTATGCCATATTTTCTTTTAAAAAAAATTAAAATGTACTTAAAAAAATACGTAACTAAGTGAACATGTATAAACTCTAAATTTCTGCTGATCTTTGGTGTTGATTGTATGGATGGCACATGATTAGTTTAGGGGAAAAAATTAAAAAAAATATTAGAGATTTCAAATTTTCTATTAAGAATTTTATTAAATGTGTCACATGAGCATGTGGAATCCATACTGATGTGAAATATTTACTAACATTTTTAATAGAAAATAACTATATGGTGCGAAATTGAGAAATTTCTCAGTTTCATATAGCTACAAAATTTAAAATTTTATATTGTTTGATAGATCTCGTTTTGTAAATTCCACAAATTTAAATTTTATTTAAAATGAACATGTAGAATAAAAATTACGAAATTTTAAAATGTTGAAACAACAAAAATAAAAATAAATGCCACATCACCATTTTGGAGTGTGCCCACTTTAGTTAGGAGAAATTGTTTAGTACTCCTAAGGCATGATCATGTGGTGCTAACAAGAAAGTTGTGATTGGTGGAAGAGTGTGACCCATGATTTTGTGTCAAGGCATAGAAGCATGGTATTTGGTAATTAGTAGATGACATTGTCACATGATGCATTTGGAGCATGTTATAATTTTTTTTCCAGGTAGGGTGCTAACAAGAGAGTTACAAGAGAGTTGTGATTGGTGGAAGGGTGTTTGGTAAACCCACATTCATATTTGCATGGATATTTCTGGAAAAAAAATAAAAATAAAAAATAATTGGCATTAAATATTTTGAGCATGATCTAACCTCAAACAATTTTATAAAATATGACTTCTCACTAAATGGTTATTTACTTTTTAAGTATATAGAGATTAGGTGCCTTTATAAAATAAAATAAAAATTAACTAAAATATTTTTAAAAATTCTCTAAAAATAAAAATTACAGATTAAAAATCTAAAAAACTTTTTTAAAACTCAAAAAAAAAATTCAAAAAGAAAAAAATAGTCAAAACATTCTAATGGAGGCAAAGCAAAGCATGGCAAGCTGAGTTATGTTTGGGTCCGGACGGATGGGCCTGTTTGGTGCACCAACCATCATTTGGTTGGCCCAAGCTGTGGCCCGAGGTTTGACTTTAGCGGAACTACACTTGCAAGCTCAAGCTTATTAAAGTCACAAGCCCAAAAAAACTTTAAATATTTAAAACCTTCTGAAAGTAATTGTAAAAAAGAGAAAGAAATTAAAGGGTCATGATTCACCTTAAGTTCAATATCTTCTGATTTTTTTTTTTCATTTTTCTCTTTTCTTTTTCCATATACAAGATGTAATTAGTTAAAGCTTCAATGGGGGTTGGGGGTTAATTTTAAAAAGCAAAGCCCACCTAATAATTGATCAGAGAATCATTAAGAGACACTAATTTCTCATTCGGAACTCATATTGGTACTGTACGTATTTTATCCTGATTAGGATTGTGTAAAATATCGCTCAACCCACTAAAATCGCACTGATCCGCATTAATTCATACAGTTCTAACCGCTAATCGTGATTTAAATTTTAAAATTTATAATTCGTCAACCGAACCGCTCCACTCCGCTATAGTTAATACATATATATTTTTTAACTTCCAATGAAATATCAATATAAAAATGAGTATGAGAGAGATTTAAGATATGAAATTTATTATAAATTAGTAGTTGTATATATGAAACATATTATGTAAAATTACTTTGTGTTATATATTTAAAAAATATTATACAAATTAGTGTTATATATTATGTAAATATATGATAATTAGTTAGAATATTCTTCAATTCGTCAATCCGCCAAAAACCGCCCAAACCGCAATTTGTCAATCTGTTAATCCACTAACCTGCCATTTGATTTGTAATTTTACTCTCAAACCGTCCGAACCGCACCGCGTACATTCCTAACTTGATATTCTCAGCCTCCGTTTGGGAGGGGTTGACTTTTTGACCTTTTTAATTATTTTAACTTGGACTTAAAAAATTTGATTTGAGAATGAATTTTTGATTTTTTTTAATTTTTTTTTTATAAAAAAAGAGTATAATAATTATAAATTAAATATGATATTTTATTTATTGGGATTAAAATAACAATGTTTTGTGACTATTTTAGCCGCAAACATCTTGCCAAACAACACCATTCATATTGGTCCTCTACAGTGAAGGTCTCTCCCTCAGCGCGAAATCGATCTTTTCCTTCAGCGTCGTCTGCAACTCCCTCCATCTGACCTCTTCCTCAAGGTATGGATCCTTCTATCTCTCTGTCTTCCCCTTCTATGCAACTCATAAACCCTCTCTCTCTCTCTCTCTCTCGAAAACAAAAACAACAAAAAAATAATCTCTTCCTTGCTCCATTGTTGCGAATCAAAGTTGCCAGATGCATCCTTCATTGAATCCATTCAAAATTTTCAATAATACTATATTTTTGATTATTTGTTGAAGAGTTTTTGGTTTTGGTTTTAGGGTTTTTATATTATTGACAAAAAAGATACGTAAGGAACAAGTTTAAAATTGATGATTTATATTATATTCATTCTTGTCCTTTATGGTAAATACACAAATGGTGTGTAACATAACTTGTTCTCTATAGTCATTTCACTTAAGGTTAAAATTGTAATAAAAAAAAATTAATTAATAGTTTGCCTTAAGAGAAAAGGTGGTGTGTAAATATAGCCACCCGTTCATTTTTTATTTTTATTTTTTAAAAATTATTTTAACTTGGTTTAAAAAGTTTGATTTGAGAAATACTTTTTTGATTTTTTAATTTTTTTTTAAAATGTAATGATTATAAATTAAATGTGATATTTTATTTAGAGTCATGACCCCCTCTAATCATCACCCCACAACCCCCACAGACACGTGGCGAGTGGTGATTGGAGGAGCAGGAAAAAAAGAAAAAAAAGAAAAGAAAATGTAACCAATGAAAAAGAGAGGGGGTCAGGGTAGGGAAAAGGGGGCATGAAACATTTTTATTTTATTTATTGGGACTAAAATGACATATTTTGGCCTTGTTTGGTTTGTGTTCCTCAAAAAAATTTGGGAAAAATTTTCTACAAATAAGTTTTCAAAAGTAATCAAACCAAACAAATTTTTTCAATTTTTTTTTTCAAAACTTGTTTGGTTTACAAATTTTACAAACAAATCTCTCTCTCATACACATCAAATTAATCACTTTTTCTAAAACTCTTTCTCAAAATAATTTTTCAAAACATCTTTTAAAAAAAAATTAAACCAAACAAATTTTCATACTTTTTATCTCAAAAAAACATGTTTCTTAAATTGCCAAACAACACCACTCATATTGGTCCTCTACAGTGAAGGTCTCTCCCTCAGCGCGAAATCGATCCTCTCCTTCAGCGTCGTCTGCAACTCCCTCCATCTGACCTGTTCTTCAAGGTACGGATCCTTCTATCTCTCTGTCTTCCCCTTCTACGCAACTCATAAACCCTCTCTCTCTCTCTTCAACTCTTCCCCTACCATATCTGAGAAGCCCAAAATTGAAACCCCTATCTGTGAATCCTTTTTGCCCTTTTGATTTTTAGTTCCCATTCTATGAACCCCATTTTTACCCATCTCTGCGAAAGCCCCTTCCCAAACCCATCTTCGAACCCCCATCCATTCTTGTTCATCTATTATCTGCATGTTATTTTCTTTGTTTTTCACATGTATGTATCTGAGATTGGTAGTCTTGTATGCTGCTGCTACAGTTGTTTAGATTCATGTATGTGAAAACATTGCTGATTTTAATTGGTTTAAATCTTATTTTTTTTTCTACATTCAATTATCTTAAGACGCCAATTTGATGGATTTTGGGAAAAATCAGATTGGGTTTGTTTTCCTTTTATCTAGTTCTTTGATTTGCAGGTTATGTTTATGTGTTTTAACTGGGTTTTGAGTAAAATTTCTGTGAAATTTTGAGGTGGTGTTACCCTATTTCCTTCAATATAGATGATGTTTAGTTTGGTGGGGAGTGTGTAATAGATAGTTAGACAATTGTTTTCTCTAGTTGAAGAGGCTGTCCTAATTGGTGAATTTTACTTTCAATGATCAATGTTAGTTTTTGATGTGTCCTTGATAACCATGGAGAATATAGCCAGTCCTACGCAAATCTTAGCATAGTTTTTTGGCCTCCAAATCAGAGAGAGCAATGCCCTAGTAGGCTAGTAGGGAAGGTTGGGCGACACATTGAACTGTTGGAGAATAAGGGCTCAACGAGCACACGAATGTGCAGCCCCAATATAGTTTAAGCATTGACCTTTCTTGATATTCTTGATAATCACTTCAGCATCCGACTCAATAATTACTTGTCAAAAATTCCATTCGAGGACGGAATGGAAACTACAATCCTTGAGCTTAAGGATAGCAAATATGGAGATCATTAAAATGCAGGGAAACAATATGGACAATGCTTCAGAGTCAAATCAGATTCCAAGCATATCTTGGAAGCAGCCTAGAGGGAGAGAGAGAGAGAGAGATGAAAAGGGTACCAGCAATTCCAGCTGCATCAGTGAAAGGTGAGTAAGTGGAGAGCAACACAGTTGGAGTCATTGATCTCTATCTGTTCAAACTTCATTCATCACCCAAACAAATCTCTCTTCTCTGCTCTCTCTCTCTCAACTTTGAATATGCAACATTGCTGTTAGACTTTGAGATATATATATATATATATATAATTCATTATAATAGGATGGAACAAATTAATGGTGTAAAGCCAAAAGATAATAATTAATGGTATAGATTTCTTTTCAGACAATGTGAGGCCCAACTTGCACATATCTTCTTTGTTGTATAATTGTATTATATATGATTTTAATGTTTTAAAACACATGTCGCTTTTCTTTCTAGAAACCTTTGAGGTTGAGGTTCAACCAATAGTTACTTTCTCAGAGACTGTCTAGAGACTGTAGATTTAGGCCCCATCATGGCAAAAAACTATTAATTGGTCAAGGGTGTCATATGACTATATTTCTCATCAATTATAATTTATCATGTTCTCTTATATTTTTTAATTATTTAACAAAAATTCATGAATTTTATATTCTTCACCAATTACAACACCGTTAGGACATTACATAACTCTAAGACTAACCAATAACTTCATGGCAGTGTCTGTTTTACGCCTTTCACATTTTCATTTTATTTTAGCTTAGCTAGTCCATTGGAGTTTTTCATGGAGCTGTTACATGGCCAACATTTTAACAAGAGTCCCATTTTTATTTTTGTGTATACTTTAACATATTTATTTTTGTGTGTACTTTAACATATTTATTTTTTTAACTTAGTGCATAGATGGTCTTATGAAGTTTGAGGCCACAGTTTTTAATGTACAAGCTTGATATTTATTCCAGCCTTTGCTTCCACAAAGGTTGTGGAAGCAAAGGCTGGAAAGGGTTCAGCAACACTCTCAATGGTGTAAGTTTGGGTTGATACTCACTTGTTTGTTTTATGGGTTCTTAGATACAATGGAATCTGTATGGTTGGTGTTATGACTTCAAGTTGATATTTTGATGAATGGACTGGACGGTGTGATGGGATTTTTATGGCCTTTGCCCAATTTTTAAATATTTTGATTAGAGCTTTTGAATAATCTAAAGTGGATGATTGGAAGGTTAAAGACTAGTTTTGTGCTCCTGAATACATTTTCATTTTACTTGCTTATGTTTGAGATTTTAAGAGACATTGAATTAGTAGTCATTCATCATGAATTTTGGTGAATTGTGGCTAGCTTTGAGGTATATGGTCAACTAAATTGTGTCATGGGATACTACTTGCAGACTAGTTTGAATAGCTGAGAAACATGCTTCGTTTTTCTGAATTGTCATAAATTGCTGAAATTTTTCATGGAAGCTCACTCTGGTTTAATTTTTAATTTTTATCTCTTGAATTTTCTACACTTCCTGTGTTGATGTTTGGTTGCTGCATTTATGAAGGGACGCTAATCCATGAAGTATGTTTATTCATTTAGTTCTATTGTTTTTCTCCTTGTGAATTGGTAATGCACTTGTTAAATATCATTAGAGAGTTGGTTGCAACTGTCATTGAACCCTTTTTCATTGAATTTACATGATCTCCATTTATTTATCTAAAACTATCATTGTATCATTTTCAACAAAACAACTAGTGTTTTAATTTATTAGTTAATTTGTGTTCTTTCGGTTCTTAATTTGATAAATTATGATTATTTTTTTTTTAAATTCTTTATTGTTTTCCTTTATTTTTCCCCTCACTTTCCCTTCTAGATGGTTCCACAAAATTTATATGTTGGTATATATTTACATACCATACATTTTATAAAAAAAAATTAAATATTAGTTAAAAATTATTTTTTATAGTATTTTTAAAACTAATATTAAAAAATATTATTGCAAATGTCACATTGGCAACCATATTAGCATTTGGTGCGTGTGTGGCATTTTATGAAAAATACAGTAATATATATAGCATTTTTTTATTTTGAAAATTGGTTAAGTTAGTTTGAATGACTAGTTAAAATAAAGAGTATGGTTGGAATACAATAACTAAACTAATTAGGTAAAATAAAGAGTGTACTTTTTTTATACTTTAGCTAGTGAAAAATAAAGAGTGTGGTTGGAGTTGCTCAGGTCGGAGAATTGAAGAGAGAGGTCTAAGATGGACAGAGAGTGGGGTTCGAAGCCTGGTAGCGGTGGCGCCGCCTCTGCCCAAAATGAAGCCATAGACCGGCGTGAGCGGCTGAGAAGACTCGCCCTCGAAACCATTGATATTGCTAAAGATCCCTATTTTATGCGCAACCATCTCGGAAGGTTTCACTCTCTGTTTCTTTGTTTATCTCTCTCTCGCTCTCTCTATACATAATATATCTATGTATTTTTGGGTTTTGCTTTGATTAATTGTTTTGTTGTTGTGATTGTGATTTAGCTATGAGTGCAAACTTTGCTTGACATTGCACAACAACGAGGGGAATTACTTGGCGCATACACAAGGGAAGCGACACCAGACCAATTTGGCCAAGAGAGCTGCTCGCGAGGCCAAGGAGGCCCCTGCTCTCCCTCAGCCTCACAAGCGCAAGGTTACCCTTAAAAAGTCTGGTAAACACCCTCTTTCTCTTTCTCTTTCTCTTCCATTCCAATTTCAATTACCCTAATTTCAACAAAATACATTAAACCCACAACTTACATTTGACTTCCCTTAATATTTTAATTTCACTAATGATGTAGCTCAATGTAGACCGTTCACTTTAAATCAAGATGATATTTTTTTACCAAAATGGCATTGCCAAGTCATTCTCGTGATACTTTTTGTATGTATGAATTTGATCATTTTCCTTTCAATTTACATAACACAGTAGCCCATTTCATCGGTAATTGCCATTGGTTAGTCATATAAATAGAAAAATGATGTTGCCATATCTTTTACCTTATTTATCCTTGTCTCTACACACCATCTGCATTAGATCCCGTCAAATATAGTGTAATTATGCCAAACTTGTTGGGCTCAATGTATTTTTATCAAACCCCATGGCAGGTCAGTGTAACTTGCCTTTTTCTTTTAATGTACACCTTGTTCAATAGGTGTGTGATTTGTGGTGTGATGAACTTGTATTGTTAAAATGGTGCTGGTGCTATTGTTCATTTGTTGACAAGAGTAAAGGCATTTATTTGCATTGAAGGTTGATGCTGTAATGTTTGTTCTTTGAGTGTTAGTTCTGTCACTGATGTGATGAGCTCACAAAAACAATTTTCAACTTTTCAAAATTCTGATTTTTGCCTTATTGGACCTAATTGTTGTGTTTATATTCATGAGCAAGAATTATAAAAATGGGTTGGCTGAATATTTAGTGTTATGTCAGAATTTATCCCAATAATGGCACTACTCAGTTTTTAGGTTTGCAATATGTGAGTCCTCATGAATATATTTTGTTGGCACACTTGCAGTTAAAATTGGTAGGCCTGGTTATCGTGTGACAAAACAGTTTGATCCAGAGACAAAACAGAGGTCTCTTCTCTTCCAGGTGAGGATTTTTTGTTCGTACTTATATGGCATAGTAATTACCAGTAGTAGACTTGAGCAGTACATATATGATGAAGTACAAGCTCACATTATCTTATATAACTGTCTAAATAAAAGGTCTGGGTTTTCAAAAGGTTAAACATTTTGTCCACAAACTGATAGATGGGATTTGTGTTGGAAATGAGATAAGGAAAAAAAAGTAAACACACAAAACCTTTAAACAAAGGTAAAAACATTTACGTTGATTTTGTTAAGAAAATTTCATTCTTTACATGAGGTTGTAGATATGTCATTGTGAAATTTGATTTATGGATATCCCTAGAATTGAGAAATGGGGTATACTTTTTTTCCTTCATTTTTTGGTGACTTTGGTATCTGGTGCAGATTGAATATCCTGAGATTGAAGATAATACAAAGCCAAGGCACCGATTTATGTCATCCTTTGAACAAGTACACTTACTATTTATTAAAGTTTTATCACTATAAACTTCCATACAAAAGGAGAATTTCAGTTTGTTTCACAACTTAACTCTTTCAAGATTACTGCAATCCTAATATTTCATTTTACGTTTCATGTGCAGAGGGTCCAATCCTTTGACAAAAGATACCAATATCTTCTGTTTGCAGCTGAACCATATGAGATCATTTCTTTCAAGGTTGATCCCTCATTCAATTACAAAAATGCTAAACATTTGATTATTATTATAGTTTTTTATTTTATATATAAAGTTAGTATTGGGTAATCAATGGATTGTGGTTGTGTGGTTATTTTAGGTTCCTAGCACGGAGATTGACAAATCCACTCCAAAGTTCTTCTCGCATTGGGATCCCGACTCAAAAATGTTCACGGTTAGTTTGTATACTCATTTATGCTCTCTCTCTCTCTCAATTTTGATGGTAATTTGGATCTCATACCACTACAAGAAATAACAGTTTTGCCGACCAAAATATTAGTCGCCAAAGGTCGCATTTTTAGTTGCTGATACCATTTAGTGACTAAATTTTTTTGTCGCCAAGTTAGTCGCCTAAACCTTGTCGGTGATTGTTTTAGCGACTAAACATGTGTTTGGTTGCTGAAAGTGAAACATTTGGCTACTATTTTTTTTAGTCGGCAATGTTACCTTTTGGCGACTAAGAAAGTAGTCGCCAAAAAGGTAATTCTTAGCTACTAAATTTTAGTTGGTCGGCAAAATTAAATATTTGGCTACTAAATTATTGGTCGCCAAACGTCAACGTTTGGCTACTAAAGTTGGGTTAGTCGGCAATAGTGATATTTTTGGCGACCAAAATATTAGTTGCTGAAAGTTATAACAAAACTAATTTGAACTATTTAGAGACTAAAATTTTAGCCGTCAATTGAATACATACCAACCGTATTTAGTTGCCAATTGAACTATTTGCCGACCATGGAATTTAGTCGCCAAAGGATGCCAAGTTTTATTCATTTTGCTACTACATTATTAGTGGCCAAAACATTTGAAAATAGTTTTTGGCTACCAAAATAGTTAGTAGCCAAATACTATATTACAAATAAATTTTTTTTTTTTTTTAAATTTCTGAACCACCTGTATCTATTATTAGTACAACCTATATAATGTATAAACAATAAAATCCATCAATACTAAATATATATTATCAACCATTCGACAACGTGCACGCAAAAAATTCCATTCGACATCCAATTCCATTCTATTCCGTTCGACATATGTAATACAAATTCCATACGACCCAAGTATATTCCAACCTCAATAATTTAAAAATATATATAATAGATGAAATCTGTACCACACCAAAAAAACTAATATGTACCGCCCCAAAAACTAATTTATACCACGTCCAATGCTAATTTCTACCATGCCATATTTGAGATATTTACCACGCAAAGCAATTATTACTGAACGAACCACTATATATACGGACAGAGGTATAAAAACAAGGCCCTTCCGTACGTGTCAGAAAAAGTCATATCCACATTTGTACGTCCAAAACTATCTGCAAACAAAAAAGATTAATCATTAGTATTGACTGCATATTGGGTTGCTAAAAAAAAAAATTCATCATTACTATTGTACATGCATATAGGGCTGCAACACGAGACAATCTAGTAAGGTTAACAATATTATTGTCAAAGAATAATATTATAACAACATAGGAATGTTAATTTTAAAAAAATGACCCTACTGATTAAATAAAGAATTATCAGGACAAATGTTAATTTTAAGAAGGAACTAGGAAAGTGTATAGTATATTGATTAAGATATTTCCTTGATTTTTTTTTTAAAAGGGAAATGATATCAACCACACTGCTAAAATATTATGAATCAAGAATATCAGCACCCATTGTCCCATTCTCCAAATCAGGTGGACTTTGTGTCTAAGACAGTGCACACTCTACTATAAAACTAATACAAACTCTACTATAAAACTAATAAGCAATTCATCATCTCTTTTTCCTCTACAGTACTGTCTTGTTTGGATGGGGTTATTTAGTGAGAAATAATAAGAAATGAAGAGAAATAAAACTTGTTCTCATGTTTGATTTGAAGAATAGGTGAGATATTTCATTTATCAAAAAAAAAAAAATGATGAAATTTGATGACAAATAAACTATTTGATGTATTCGTATATATACATCCACATAGCATAAAAAAATAGATTGAATAACATTGCTAAGTACGATAGCCCAAATTTTTTTGATCATCAAGACAGCCCAAATTGATTCAAGCCATGGTGAAACTTGGCATGTTAGATCTCCGACAAATGACCCGCATAATGCAGTCCTAGTCCTCCATTTGTCTTCCACACATACATAGAAATAGACCTACGAAAGATCTTGACAATACTAAATAGGAGAGGTTATATCCTGAATGATCATAATCAGACAGTTATTAAGTAAATGTGTGAGCAAAAAATGTTAGTTACCCCTTAGTCACTTTTGTGTTGGCAATTTCACTCTAAGATTGGGTATGTTATAATTGTTTTTTAGGCTTATTTGAGTCTTGAGCATGCTTTGTAGTGAAGCATTATCAAAACAACTTCACATGAAAGCCTTGATCATACAAACATACTCATCTTCTGTAAAAAGGCAAAACACATGCATTGCAGTATCATCGTTTACAGAGTTCTTATCTTTATTATTAAGAAGGGTTCAGTTTATTTTATTTTCTTGAACATAGTTAGCTCAAGTTTTCTCTTTCAATCAGTTATCCCTGAAATAAAATAGGATTTATGGTTAAGAAACTTAAATTAAACCTTAGGTCCTTTAAGTGTGTACTCTTGAAGAAATGAAGACCATTTACCATGCCTTTTATTCAAGTTACGCTGTGAATGTAAATATTTGTAAGGCCCCCATAGACCCCCAAGAGTTGTTACCGTCTGTCCCTCCATGTCACATTTGGCACCGGGAAGCTTCCCGTTACGTAAAAACAGTGGTTCAAGGGCTGTTTCACATTTTTGCCCCCCAAACGCCATTTTTCGACTACATTTATGATATTATCAACTCCATCTCCCAACCTAGGTGTCCTATTTACGTACCGTCTCTCCCTACATGTCACATTTGGCACCGGGAAGCTTCCCGTTACGTAGAAACAGTGGTTCGGGGGCTGCTTTGCATTTTCGCCCCCCGAACGCCTTTTTTCGACTAATTTTATGGCATTATCAACTCTAACTCTCAACGTAGGTGTCCTATTTACGTACCGTCTGGCCCTACATGTCACATTTGGCACCAGGAAGCTTCCCGTTACGTAAAAACAGTGATTCGGAGGCTGTTTTGCATTTTCGCCCCTCAAACGCTTTTTTCGACTACTTTTATGGCATTATCAATTCTAACTCCCAACGTAGGTGTTCTATTTACGTACCGTCTGTCCCTACATGTCACATTTGGCACCGGGAAGCTTCCCATTACGTAAAAACAATGGTTTGGGGGCTGCTTTGCATTTTCGCCCCCTGAACGCCTTTTTTCGATTAATTTTATGGCATTATCAACTCTAACTCCCAACGTAGGTGTCCTATTTACGTACCGTCTGTCCCTACATGTCACATTTGGCACTGGGAAGCTTCCCATTGCGTAAAAACAGTGATTCGGGGTCTGTTTTGCATTCTCGCCCCTCGAATGCCTTTTTTCGACTACTTTTATGGCATTACCAACTCTAACTCCCAACGTAGGTGTCCTATTTACGTACCGTCTATCCCTACATGTCACATTTGGCACCGGAAAGCTTCCCGTTACATAAAAACAGTGGTTCGGGGGCTGTTTCACATTTTCGCCCCCCAAACGCCTTTTTTCGACTACATTTATGACATTATCAACTCCATCTCCCAACCTACGTGTCGTATTTACGTACCGTCTGTCCCTACATGTCACATTTGGCACCGGGAAGCTTCTCGTTACGTAAAAACAGTGGTTCGGGGGCTGTTTCACATTTTCGCCCTCCGAACGCCTTTTTTCGACTAATTGAAACTTCTAGCTAGTAGAGAGTTTAATGAAACTTTAAACTTGGTTAGTAGGCATTCATTTGGGTATCTTCATTTGCAGTAGTTTAGTAGCCAAATCCACCATTTAGTTCCCTAAATGGTGGATTTTGCTTGAAGTAGTGTGGAATAGCTCAATCAGGCTTTTGCGCAATAGGCACCATACAATAAGGTTCTTGATATGGTGGTTTGCTCATAGTACGAATGTAGACCACCCGGACTCCGCTCCGCGCGCGTGGGCGCGAATCGTTGTTCTTAGCTATTACAGTTCGGACTCATATCACGGTTTTGAATCTAATCTCACAAAGTGCAATGTAAGACTGATAAATCACCAAAGAGTCCAAATCCGGCAAATCGTTTTGGAAAATCGATTTTAATAAAAATGCGCCAAACATGGACTGTTTTGCCAGATTTCAGAGTTGCCACCTAAATATTTTATTTTGAGAAATTTAGGAAACCCTAACTCGTGCCTAAGGTCACATGTCCGTCATCACCAAAGTTGCCTCGGCTCGGGAACTTGGGTACGAGAGGGGAAGGTCATCAAAGATCGGCCTCTACTGACATGATATGTTGTTTTTGAAAACACATGTGTTCTTATTCCGATTATTAGACTAGCTTACTACGTGATGCGCACAACATACAAGTATAGACTGGATCGCCTAAATTAGAACAAAGCATCTCATGTTTGTTTTTTTCAAAAATGGTTTGAAGTTGTTACCCTCAAGTAGGCTAAGACGCGGATTTTGCCACCCTCAAGTGGGCTTAAGAAAACATGATTTTGCCACTCTCAAGTGGGCTTAAAACTCGCATTTTGATGAATTGTTCCAATTCAAGCAATGAAGCCTTCATCCACAGGCATTCATGTAGTTAATCAATTAAGCAGTTAGCCTCTTGGCAAGCATGCTATCATGGCAACATTTACACGCATGCAAGGATGCTAAAGCATAAAAACTCACAGTGTACTCCGAGCCAAAACAGAAGCTAGTTAGTAATCAATGCATGATCCTAGCTATGTCAACAATGCCTAATGCAACACATGCAAAATACAACTAAGCAGGCTCGGCTATCTAGGATGGCATATGAATGCAACAATTGATAACATGCTTTGAAACACGTATTCAAGTAAGTGTATTGAAATACAATGCAGTTTGTGTGATGTGCCGAGCCCGAAGCATGCAAGACAAATGAATGAATACAAACATGTTAGCATAAGGATGCTAATTGAAACATGCCCTAAAACTAACCATCGAAAACGGTTAAGTAAAAGGGAGAAAGAAATGGGGGTTGGAAGACATGCATCACACACACGCACACTTATTACAACATTTGTGCCCTCTCGACGAAGGGTCCAAATAATAAGCTAACTAGCTAATCTAAGC